ACCAGAAGAGCGGGACAGAAGAACAAAGACCCTGCTCTTGGATATTCATTCCCAGCCTATGGATCTGTCCTCCGTGAACTTCTTTTAACTCATTTGTACTAATGACTTACATAGTCTTAAGTTACTTAACTACTAAGCTTCGTTAATTTTATTTGCTCTCTCTTGTGTTCATGGAGTGGGGGATACTGGTGAGAAACACTGAATAAGCCTTGTTGAACCAGGGAAGGACATAAGCCCTTCAATCATTGTTTTCAAAGGCGTAGAGTCCAAAATTGTATAGCCTGCCATCTACAGGAGTCATTTCTGCCTGCGATCATCTTTGTTTCCTATTTCTGTTCCTCTTCTCAGCCTTGTAATGCTTTGGGAGGAGGATTCAGCAGAGTTCTGTACAGTGGTTGAGCTGTTGACACAGCATGGTGTGCAGCGTGGGATGTCACTCTGCTTTTTCTTTTTCTTTTTTTTTTTTTCCTAATACCTAACCCTAACATTTAATTTGACTTTTGACTGGTACCTACCACTATGCTGATGTTGTCAGATTGACCTTCTCTGACTCTCAGATAGTGCTGACTTTTCCAAGCAGTACAGCAGCGTAGGGTCTGTAGTTGTTGATGTACAGTTAACTGCCTTTCCTGTGTGTTACTTGTCACTTACTGGCATTAGAATTTTATCTGATGCTTTGTTCTCCTGTCACTCAGTGTGATAAAACCCTCTTTTCTCATCCAACTCTTCAGCTGATTGTTGATTTGAATACTGAGAATATTTTAACTGTGTCTGCAAACTGCTGCATGGCTATTCATCCCCTTTTCTAGGCGTCAGGTAGATGTTGAATAGCTCAAGGCCCAGCCTTAGACCCCTGTGGATTTCTGCTTTTTTTCTTCCTAAGGTTATTTTAATGTTTAGCTCGTGCAAGCTCACTTTCTTTAGGAGCCTTTGACAAACTTGTGCTTACTTCCACAGAACTCCATGAAGGCTTCTCAGAGCTTGAGGGACACTATGAGCTCTGGGATTCATTCCTGGAACAGCCAGG